GGGTGAGATGCAGTTATTTAGAGAACAATGTAAGCTAAACCGTTTCAATAAAGTTACAGAAGTATGTCAGAGCCCCTTTCCATGCCCTGAAGCTTAGGAGAGGTTTGGTGACGCAACAAGAGAATGAACCAAATCCAATCAACAACAGAATGGTGGGAAAAAAATAAAAGGTTTTCAAATGGTCAATCCACAGTGCTGACTTCAAACTAACCCAGATATTGCGTCATGTCCTCAGGAAGGCTGTTCAATTAAAACCTCCCACAAATACTGACGACCTAAAAAGGCTATAGCTGGAAGGAGCTTCCCAAACTCCTCTTCATCATTGTCCAACTCTTTTTGGGACCTATGAGAAATGTCTTAAAGACTCTACACATGATAGATTTAGTCTTTTCTTTTTTCCACCCAGGACCAAGCGATTATTTATCATGCTCAAAACACACGAAAGACACAATTTTTAGTGTTTTATTAAGTTTAAGAGTACACATTTTTTTATTGCAAGTAAAAACTGCCAGGAGGCCATCTCCTTCAGATAAACAGCAATCAGAAATAACATGTAAAGTATTACGACATATATTAATTTACCAAGCAATCGCTAATGGCACTCAGAGTGTGGTTATGACAGTGTGTGGATATAATTAATGTCTAAAATACATGTTCAACACTGCAAATACCACAAAGATATGTTTCGGGGAACACATCAATAAAGTCCCCTCCATCCCCATGGCTACTGCTAACGCTGCTATTTCTGTAAATGTGTAAACGAAATGTCAGTGAAAGAAGGTAGGGCCACACATTGATTTTTCTGGCCTGAAAAAAAAAGTAGTGTGTCATTGACAAGGAGACATCATTTTAAAGTTACCAGCCATGGGCAAGCAATCCAGATAGTTAATTGTGTATATGGGGTGTGTGTGTCTGAGTGTGTGTGTGAGAGAAGGGTGTTTGGATTAAATTGTTTTGACAGGCAGGCCTTTACCACCCAGACAGCTGGCCTCTAACTGCTGCAGTGGTTTATCACCTCCCATACAGAATCACCTACAAACACCCGACAGTGCTACCTAACACCCAAAGAGGCTTTATCAAGAGCCAAGAGAAAATCCCAGAGGCTCATAGCACAGGAACTACTGTGGAATAACTCCAACATCCTGAGCAATAAATTGCACATTTCCTTTCATGATATCACATATCAGTTTTGATGCCCGGCATCTAGCTTGGTCTGCTTCTACTGGCAGATGATGGAGCCTTCAAAGCTGCTGCTGGATTCACCTGCCGTCATAAAGCACTTATCAGGCCCAATATACTGAAATCTGCCGGTTCTGATGAGGTCCAGTAGACTCAAGGAGTTCAAATTGGGCTGGAAGAGGTCGAAATTAAAGAAATTTGATTTTTGTCCTGTTTTAATAATTAACACCAGCTGAATAAATTGACTCCATGTTTCTGCTGTGGATGTAAATGCTGTAAAATTACAGCAGAGAGTAAGCGCTTGAACAGCACAGTCACTATTTACTCCCAAGAGCTGTGGCACGGTGCCAACGTGTCACAAAGTATCACTGTCAAATGCATATATACAGAGCGTACTGCACGCACGCACACACACACACACACCCAATCACCACCCTTGTGTGAGAAAGGCTGCTTCACAACAGGAAGCAGAGCAGGAAAAGGTCTGCATCAGTAACCGTGGTCTAAAGTGGCACGAATGTCGCTCTACATTACAGAGCTAGCTCGCTTTTTAGAGCTGAGACAATGAACTGATTACCTGTTTAAAGGGTGCTCGCACACCTTACCTTCTTTATTATGGTACACTTTGCAGGCTTATATTTAATTTAAGATATCTTCCCAGAGTTCCGGGGAGCTATTGTCCTCCATTTATCATCTCTCTGCAAGATGAAAATCAACTGGAGCAGATCAGTGTAGATTTTTCCTGAAGTTATAAATGTTTAAGCAGTTACAGCAGCACATCTGACATCTTAACACACTTTTGTTTAGTCTAACACTTTAGAAGCTGTGTCCCTGTTGTGTGTTTTGGATGTAATTATGTCTACAGAGCAAAGAATCTTCATTAGTCCTTGGGCTCCACACGTGAGTGTCCCAGCAAACTTCACGGACATAAAGCTCTGTGTGACTCCAGGAACACCTACATAGGAGGGCTGTCCTTACTGTTAATGCTTATTTAAGATCATTAATCGCATGGAAACACCAAAGATTCACTTACGCTATGCTAGGGGTGTCAAACATAAAGTCCTGGGGCCAGAATCAGTCCGCTAAAGATTCCAATCTGGCCCACTGGACAGCTTTGGAAAATGTGAAGGAGGGGGTACATTTTTAGACTTTTAACTGTAGCTCCCTATGTTTTACAGCTTTTTCTACTGAGCTCCTCCATTCATGCTACACCAAAGTGAATAATTAATAGACAAACAATTAAATGACAGCAATGTCCTGTTCTTCCACTGTCAACAATAGAAACCTATGACTTTTACAATGGGCTGACAGTGGGAGGAAGAGGACAATCTGTCAATGAACACAACACAAATTCTCTGTTTTATAATAGAAGGACAGTCTACACATTAAGCTAAGATCACTTATTCTGTAATTTTACAGACTTAGTTCTTACTACAGCATATTTTTATCATGTAGGAAAAACTGAGATGTACTGCTGAAAGTTCTTCCTTTCCTTATGTTAAAATATCTCGGGGATTAAATGTGTAGCTAAACTTCTTCACACTGACAGACAGAGGAGTTTCACAGGTCTGGCCCACTTAAGATCAAAGTGGGCTCTACGTGGCCCAAAATGTAAAATGAGTTTGGCATCTCTGCTCTGAAGGTATTGAGTTCTGTGACAAATTCACAGGCGATTTTCCCCATGATCTCTCATTTTACCGAGCAGGACCAAGTTAGAATCACGGGTTTTCTTATCCTAAATCATAGTGCACAAGAGTCAACATATTTGCTGTTTGATACAATTAAATTAGGGCACGTGAACAAGTTGTGACACGTCACGCCACACGGAGGGAGACTGCACAGCCTACTGTCCTGCTTCCAAAGCGCACTTGAGCTGCATGCTCCCCAACTGCCAGTCAGTGGTCAACAGCCAGACCCGCACTGTGCAAGTCACTTCAGTTTGCAACTTTCAGTTCCACTTAAGAGTGAAAATGAATGGGCTGCTGAGCTGCGACCGTGGAGTGTAAGTCCAACACGCCCGGTGAATGCAACAAAAGCGGCGTGTGCAGCATAAGCTGTGACAGAAAGGTAAGCTCTCTGAGGAGCCCCGGTTGTCCGGACTTTACCGGACGGTTTACGGTTTAGAAACATGGGAGGGACCCCGTGTGTGCACATGCGACCGCCGGCCAGACGCCGCTGAGTGCGGGCAGCTACATAAATAAATCCAGTGATAATACCTGCGCCACACACACCGCAGTGCCCCCTTATTATTATTACTAGCTGCTTAAATCTGGGCACCAAGTTCAGTCAAGGGCTGTCAACTTCCCTCCTGCACCTCCTGCACGGACAGGCTAGAAGACGCGGAGAGGAGGAGCGATTTAGATTTATTTTTTTAAAAATTATTTCTCTTCTGTATTGAGGGATGGCACAGCGACGCACTTTAAATGAAACACACAAGAGGTTCGTGTGACTCACCAGCAACACCAACGTTAACATTTTCGCCTCTCTCATCCGACTCCCGTAGCGATTCCAAGAGGCCATGATGCCGTTGCCACGTCTGGATACGCAGGCGCATTCGCTTTTCCACGGATTCTTGAGCATGGCGCAAGGG